GTCTCCCCAGGCCCTGCCCCTGCAGACACGCGCTGGGACTCTCTGGCTCTGCCCTGTGGGAAGAAACCCAGTGAGTTTGTTACCCCCCCGGCCCGGCCCCTCCTGCCAGAACAAAACCCACCGAGCCCCTCTGAGCCCCACCCATAGCAGCATCTCTGAGCCCCGCTGGGGAAAGAGCCGAATCAAAGGAGCCATTTTGGGCTGTGCCCCCTCCCCCTCCCAAGCAGGGTGATGCTTCCGCAGAGGCACCAAATGGCTTTTCCTCTCTCAGCTCCTCCCTGGGCCCCCACAGAGTCAGGCTGCCCTGGGGCTGCAGGGATGGAGCCAGGCAGGGCTGAGAGCCTCCCTTCTCGCTTGTTGCTCCTGGTGCCCCTTCCAGTCCCTCCCCTGCCCCTTTTCATCCTCCTCCCTTTCCCTGGGAGAATCAGTGACTGCCCCTTTGCAATGGGCCTTTGATCTCATTCGGCTAATTTAGTCCCCATCATTCTGTATGAATAGTTGGGATTATTGTTTCCAATGTGCATCCCTTTGCATTTATCAGCATTACAATTCATATGCCGTGTTGTTGCCCCATCACCTAGCTGTATGAGATGCTTTTGAAGCTCTTCACAGTCTGCTTTGGTCTTGGTAGAAATGTAGCCGTGTTAGTCTGGTGCAGCTGAAACCAAAAAACCACCTTGTTAGTCTTTAAAGTGCTACACAGTCCTGTTTTTTGCTTTGGTCTTAACGCTCTTGAGCAGTATCATCTGCTTTCTCCTATTTACTCCTTTCTCCAGATCATTTATAAATAAGTTGACTAGGATTGGTCACAGTGCGGACCCTTGGGGGACACTTCTAGTTACCCCTCTCCACTCTGAAAATTGACCATTTATTCCTACCCTTTGTTTTCTGTCTTTTAACCAGTTATCTGTCTATGAGAGGACCTTCCTTCTTATCCCAGGACAATGAACTTTACTTACGAGCCTTTGGTGAGGGACCTTGTCCAAGGCTTTCTGGAAATCTATAGCCACTGGATCCCCTTTTTTCACATGCTTGTTGACCCCGTCGAAGAACTCTAGGGCTACGTCTAGACTGGCATGATTTTCCGGAAATGCTTTTAATGGAAAAGTTTTCCGTTAAAAGCATTTGCGGAAAAGAGCGTCTTGATTGGTACGGCCAATCTAGACGCGCTTTTGCGCAAAAAAGCCCCGATCGCCATTTTCGTGATCGGGGCTTTTTTGCGCAAAACAAATCTGAGCTGTCTACACTGGCCCTTTTGCCCGAACAGGAGCAGCATAGTATTTCTGCAAGAAGCACTGATTTCCTACATGAGATCGTCAGTGTTCTTGTGGAAATTCAAGCGGCCAGTGTAGACAGCTGGCAAGTTTTTCCGCAAAAGCAGCTGCTTTTGCAGAAAAATTTGCCAGTCTAGACACAGCCAAGTAGATAAGTACGGCATGATTTCCCTTTACAGAATCCATGTTGGCTTTTCCCCAACAAATTATGTTCAGCTATGTGCCTGACTACTCTATTCTTCACCACAGTTTCAACTAATTTGTCCGGTTCTGACCTTAGACTTATTGGTCTGTAATTGCCAGGAACATCTCTAGAGCCCTTTTTAAAGACTGGCGTCACATTAGCTATCTTCCAGTCAGTAGGTACGGAAGCTGATTTAAAGGACAGGCTACAACCAGTTAGTAGTTTCACATTTGAGTTCCTTCAGAACTCCTGGGTGAATGCCAGCTGGTCCCGATGACTCGTTACTGTTTCGTTTAGCAATTTGTTCCAAAATCTCCTCTAAAGGTGCCTCAATCTGGGGGCAATTCCTCAGATTTGTCACCTAAAAGGAATGGCTCAGGGATGGGACTCTCCCTCACATCCTCAGCCTTGAAGACGGAAGCAAAGAAAGTCTTTAGTTTCTCCGCAATGAGCTGATCACCTTTGAGTGCTCCTTTGGCACCCCACCGGTTGTTTCGCAGGCTTCCTCATGCTAAGGAAGAGAGGTGAGGCACAAATCCTACTCCACTCCACCCCGACCCGGTGCTGCTGCTTCACACAAGGAAGCTGAACCACAAACAGCTTGCTTCTGTGTGGCTGGATACTGGTGTCTGTCCTCAAGCCCCAGCCAGCTTGCTTTGGGAAAGGGGCAGCTACTGGTGGAAGCCATGATTCCCAGGTGCTTGGAAAGTGGCAGGAAAAGACATCCCGACAGGGGAAGCACAGGGAGCAGTTACCCTGGGATCTGGCAAATCAAAGGGACCCAGGGTTCCTGGCCATTTCTGTTGCCCAGGACCCCTTTGAGTGGCTGCCAGAGTGTTGGATCGCTTGCTTCGCTCGGCTTTGAGGGCTGACGGGAGATGCAAGCCACAGTCTGGGCAGTGCTGAGGGCCGAAGCCCATCCACAAAATGCAGCACAACACACATAAAACGCTGGGAACTTACGGTAGGCAATGAGCGGTGTAAACAATGTGGTAGAAAAATTAACATGGATGCATGCAATACAGAAACGTAAAGTGGGCACTTCAGTGTGTGCGGGACGAGGTTTTACTTACTGAAATAAATTTTAATCAGTTTTCAATTGCAAGTGAATCGCATGTTCCCAGAAGTGCCCAATGGCACTGCACAATCCTGTAACTTGCAACCCTTGTAGTT